TGTGCTAGGATTCACCCTAGGTCGTGGGGCCTGTGGACTTTGACAAACACTGCCATTGCAGTATACACAGAACAGTCTCCCACTGCCCTAAAACGGTTCTGAGCACTGCATCAGCAAGGCAGCTTCTTGGGCTTCAGTGGCTGTGGCATACACAGGAAGGATGCTGGTTAAGCAGCTGGTTTCCTTATTATTGAGAAGTTGAAAGTTTCTCCAGCTGTTACAGGGTCTACCTTTTGTTTTGTTTCTCAACTTCAGAGCAAAAGAAAGCATCGTGTGTGCGGAAAGTGACTGGAAGGACGAGGAAGGGACAGTCCCTTCTCGAGCCCACTCCTTGTGCCTTCTAATGCGCCATGGACGACTCCCATGCCGATTCAAATCCCTCACTACGCTGGAAGCATTTTCTCTTCCAGGCTCTAAATCAAAACCTCAGTCTCCTTTAATCCAATCATATCTTAAGTTAATGAGTTTTAGCTTTGTGAACTTCTTTTTATTTATTTATTTTTATTAAATTTATTTATTTATTAAGGATTTCTGCCTCTTCCCCGCCACCGCCTCCCATTTCCCTCCCCCTCCCCCGATCAAGTCCCCCTCCCTCATCTGCTCGAGTGTGAACTTCTTTTTAAAAATGTGTAATTACAGGACAAACCACTTTAGTTATACATGTTCATATTATGTGTATATATATATATAATTTTTTGAGATATTATTTTTATTTTATGTGTATGGGTGTTTGTCTACATGTGTATCTGTGAACCCTATACATGTAGTGCCCTTTGAGGTCAGAGAGGACATCAGATCTCCTGCAACTGGAGCTACAGAGGGCTGTAAATGGCCACATGGGAGCTGGGAATTGAACCTAGGTCCTCTGGAAGAGCAGCCAGTGCTCTTAACTGCTGAGCCATTTTTCCAGCCTCCCAAGCAAATATTTTTAAAATTTATCAGGAACATCTTACAAACTACCAAAAGGTCACCAACATTACACTTTCATACAGAGACAGCCCAGAGCCTAGAGAACCCAGACTCCCATGACTCCAATGAAACAAGGCTTTGATTTTTTTTCTCTTACCGGAAAAGTCCTACTACAGATGCTTTAGCCCAAGCTTGAGGCACCTTTCAATTTATATAAAAAATGAAAAGGCTGTAAAAAGTGGTTTCATTAAAACGTTTACATTTGTTTGGTTTATGTGCACGTGTTAAGTGTGTGTATCTATCTATACATGTGTGTGTCACAGTGTGCAAATGAGTGTCAGCTTGTAGGAGTTGGTTCTCTCCTTCCACCATATTGGCCCCAAGTATTGGACTGGGTTTGGTAGGCTTGGCAGCAAGAGCTTTTACCCGATGAACCACTTTGCTGGCTCAAACTGCTTTTCTAGTTAAGAACTATGGCACAGCACTCTTCATTCCCAAGGCCAGCAGCTGCCACTCCATCACTGTGTTACCTCCCTCGTACTGATAGCATCCTTCTGATTGTCATAGGCAGCTAGGGATGACCTCTTAATTTTTATTTTATTTATTTATTTTTGGTTTTTTCGAGACAGTGTTTCTCTGTGGCTGTGGAGCCTGTCCTGAAACTAGCTCTGTAGACCAGGCTGGTCTCGAACTCACAGAGATCCGCCTGCCTCTGCCTCCCGAGTGCTGGGATTAAAGGCGTGCGCCACCATCGCCCGGCTTTAATTTATTTATTTTACATTCCTTTATAAATTAATTTTTATTAGCTACACTTTTCATTTATTTTACTTCCTGACTATAGTTTCCTTGTCCCCTCCTCCCATACCCCCTCCCCTCTGCCCACTCTTCCCAATCCACCCCTCCTCTACTTCTGTTCAGAAAGGGGTGGGCCTCCCATGGGTGTCCGATAAAGCATGGCATATCAAGTTGAGTTGGGACTAAAGTTCCTCTCCTTCTATTAAGGCTGGGCAAGGCAATCCAGCATTAGGAGCAGGTTCTCAAAAGCAAGTCAAAGCATTAGGGACAGGCCTGCTCTCACTGCCAGGAGTCCCACAAGTATACCAAGGTACACAACCATTATACATATGCAGAGGGCCTGGGCAGGTACCACGTAGGCTCCTTAGCCTTTGGTCCACAGTCTGTGAGCTCCCATGAGCTGGCCAGTTGCTTCTGTAGGCTCCCTTTTGAGGATCCTGATCATTCTGGCTCATATAATCCTTCTTCCCTCCCTCAATAGGTTTCCCTGGGCTCAGCCCAGTGCCTGCTTGGCTGTGGATCTCTGCATCTGTTCCCATCAGTTACTGGATGAAGGCCCTCGGATGGCAATTGGTGTAGTTACCAGACTGATTACAGGAGATGGCCTGTTCAGGATACCTATTCCCTATTGCTAGAAGTCTTAGCTGGGGTCATCCTTGTAGAATCATGAGAGTTTCCCTTGCACCTGACCCTGAAATGCCTGCCCCTCCCATCAAGTCACCTCTTTTATTGCTCTCTCCTTCCCTACACCTCTCAATCTTATCCCTCATGTTCCAATGCATCCCCATCACAGTTTCCCCTTCCCCTACTCCTTTCAGTCCCTGCTCCCTTTCCCCCAGATCCACTCCTCCTCCATTTCCCTTTAGAAAAGAGCAGGCCTCCCAGGAATATCCAATACACACAGCATAACAAGATATAGTAAAGCTAGGCACAAACCTTCATGTCAAGGTTGGGCGAGGCAGTCCAGTAGGAGGAAAAGGATCTCAAGAGCAGACGAGAAAGAGTCAGAGATCCTGCCCCCGCCCCACATTAGGAGTTCCATAAAAACACCAGGCTAACTAACCACAGTATGTATTCAGAGGACATAGCGAAGACCCATGCAGGCTCAGTGATGGCCACTTCAGTCTCCGTGAGCCCCTATGAGGCCAGCTTCGTTGATGTCTGTGGGCTGTGTTCTCCTGGTATCCTGGACCCCTCAGGCTCCTACAGTTCTTCCTCCCCTTCTTAGGAGGTGAGCTCTAAGGAGAGGGGCTGGATAAAGATCTCTCTGGCCAATGCTTGACTGGGACGACCTCTGTATTTGAAGGGCAGTTGATTCACAGCCTCTGTGTGTATTTACTGCCTTAATTCCCTGCCAGGAGAGGCCATATGCTTTCCAGCTCTTGGGACTAGGATGAGGACGTCTTTGGAGAGCTACTTCTCTCAGTGGCAACATGCATTCTCAGTGGATGAAAGGTTGTCTGTGGTAGATTTTAGGGACAAAGCCTGAGCCCTGGTACCCGCCGCCCCCCCCCCCCAATAAGTTGAGTTTAGTCACCTGTCCTTAAGACAGCAATTGTAGAAATAAGTAGTAGTGACAAGCAGAGAAATTTGCTCACTGTGGCCACACTAGGAAAAGGAACAAATAAAGAGGCCCAGTGACCACAAGTCCTTCTTCTAGACACTGACTGACAGGCGGCTTAGGCTTAAACAGGGGCTAAGGGTGTGCATAGTTAAGTAGTTCTGGTCAGGGTGTGGTCTTGCTAGTAAATTGATCAGTCATTGTCTGGAAGAAGTCTGACAAGTCAGAACTGTGTGAAATCTCTCCATGCGTGTCAAATTCCTCCTCTGGTTACTGCCAGCCTTTCCGCTTTTCTAGTGTGAGATTCTCTAGGCAATTTCGGAGTCCTCGGTGTCCACTACCTTAGCGGTCTGACAACCCAGAGGCACTCTGGCAGGCACTCTCTAGAATATTTTTTGCTTCTGCCCAGATGATTCTGAGGGGGAAGAGCAGAAAGAAAACTCTGAGTAACTTTCGTTTTCTTGTACCCTCAGGAGCAGATCAAGTATTGGGCGGGACTAAGCTCCCTCAGGAAGACATCTACCCACTGGGACAGAAGAAATGTCAGGACACTCTTGGCCCCTAATCTTGGTGCTCTGAGGGTCAGAAAGCAGAGCTAATTCCCCCTTCCACTAACTATGCTACGTACTGTTCATTTAAACGAATGTTGCAAGAATGTCAAAATCCTCCTGCTTGAACTTGTCTGAATAAGGTTTTATTCTACTTTGGCAAGCCTTGTAAGGAGCATCATAAACATGTTTCTGAAAAATTTACTTTTAACTTGTTGTCAGGAGAGGTAAAGAGGTCTGGCTCAGATCTGAGTTCCAACCCTAGACGCTATCACTCAGATCCCAGGGGCTTGCTGGCTAGCCATCTTAGCCTACTTGGTGAGTTCCAGGCCAATGAAAGGGTCTACCTCAGAACACAAGGTAGATGATGCTTACAGAATGACAAATGACAAAAATCCTCTGGCCTACATGTATAAACACATACATGTACATGCATATCTGTACACACATGCACACTTGCACACACATGAACACCCACACATAGGGAAAGTAGGAGATACATTTTTGCTTTAAAGGGAATATAATAAACTGGATATTTGTATTTCCAAAAGAAAAACGTGAAAGGGCTGATCAGGCTCAGGGTGTTTTCGCCGAAGTGCCCCCATCCCCCCAAAGGCCTCATCAGTCACGATGCCACAGAATCCCAACATCAGTCTCTCTGAGACACCCTTGAGTTTTTTTCATGGGCCAGGACTGACTGACTGCAGCCTCCTGACTGGGGAAGGAGGGAAAGTGCTGGCAGCAGAAGCCCTAATAAATAGAGGGATTATCAGTAGCTTTAAGTCTCTTACAATCCCCCTCCTACACCCCCCCCCACCTCACCCCCGTCGCCCTGCCTCTTTAGTCTGTATGGGAGACAAGGGGAGGAGGGAGGAGAGACTTCCCTGGGCTACAGCGGTTCTAGGGCTGACCGGTCCTGCGTCCCAGACTTGTAAGAAGAGAAATACATGCTCGTCAGAATATTAAGAAGTGCAAGGAAGAGCAGAGCAGAAGAGGCGACAGTTGGAGTCAGGACCAGAGCCAACGCTTTAGGAGTTCCAAGTGTCACAAGATCAGGAGATCTTGGCTGCACCAGGTGTAGTCGTCGTCGTCCACCCTCCCAAGTTGCAGCATATCCCGCTCTGGATCCTTGCGAACTAGCAAGTCCCGCTCCCAGCCCACGAGCCAACGTGTCAGGCAGGAACCAGCGACTGGAGGGTAGAGCACCTGCAGAAAAAAGTAGAGGAATCAACAGCCTCGAATGTTTGGGGAAGTAGAGACAAAAGAGATCTTTAATTTTTTGCCTTGACTTCTTCCCGATGCCTTTATCACCCCCTCCCTCCGCCCTGAGGATCGCAGTCGCTTGGCGAGGTGAAGCCCCTGAGGTGGCGATTCCAGCAAAAACCGAGGGACCTCCAAGAGGAGAGGGAACCTGGAACAGTGGAGTCTGGAGTGTCCCGAGAAGGCCCAGATGGGGTCGGGGAGGTCTAGGGGGACATGGAACTACATCAAATTTCCTTCCCTGAGTGGCGGTAAGAACTATAAACGCCCCTTCGAAGTGAAAAATAAGAAAAAAAAATAGTCCTTTCCTTTCCCTTAAAGTTAACCAAGGTTGTTGGCTGCTTGGGGGTGGGGGCGGGGGGGGTGTTCCTGGTCCAATTGAACAGGGCTATTTTTTACACAGTGCCCCACCCCGTGCGATGTCAGCACGCTCAGCTGATATAAGGACGAGAGCCTGAAGAGTAGAGGTCTCCACTCTGGAATGCGGGGACTTCAGCTCTGACGCCAGGAGGCAGACGCGCTGCGGAGGACAGAAATCGGCCGGTAATGGGTCCCCTGCGGTCCCTTGCACAAGTTTTCCTAAAACCCAGGGTCATCGGGGTCGCTCCCCCAGCCCCCCGGAGGTTGTGGGAAGTCAGTGGACAGTGCCTGGAATTTCAGAATTTTCTTCCCACTGGGAGCCCGGAGCTGGGAGGCTTGGGAAGGGGAGCCCAAACCGTCCCAAACCCAGTTTTGTAAGACCTGTCTTGCTGCACTGAGGGCAAATATCTGAATCTGCTACCCGGGAGTCTTGAGGAAGAAGGCCAAGTGAGGTCCTGTCCCGTGGAGGGGAGAGATAGTGTCAGGTGTGCCACCAGAGCAGCCTCTAAGCTCCCCGGGGGCCTTAGGGTTCGACTGACCTTCAGGGGAGCCCAGTACTGATGACAATGGGTTAAGTAGAATTCAGTAGGCAGTTTCAATAAGCAGGTCTGCGGAGTGTAACTCTGAATCCCTTTAACACGGGGTAGTTCTGAAAGCAGAAGTGAGAGAGGAAGGGAGGGGAGAGAGGGAGGGATTTGTAGTAGTTTCTCAGGTCCTTTTTCTGAAGGGTTGGGTGAGGTGGTGGCTGGTGGTTCAGAGGCAAGCTCCTAAGAGGAAGTGGGTGCAGTCTTTGAAAAGTCGCCTGGCCCTCCCTACCCAAAAGATCAAAACTGGGTTTGTCCTTACGGGGAAATAGAAACTGATCCGATCTCTCTCTCCCTCTTCCTCTCCCTGTATGTGTGTATGCGGGGCAGGCAGAGGGGAACTAAGGGTTCCTGTGGCTCCATCAGTACCAGAGCAGCTGCTTGGTGCCACAGCATCCTGAGCCAGAAGGAAGGGTTTAAATGCTTAGTGTGACAGCATCCTGAGCCAGAAGGAAGGGTTTAAATGCCAGCCGGCATTTAAAAACTTGTGGTGAGTTTCACTATCTTTGTGCAAACAAAAGAAGAGGGTGACGTGATCACGTGCTTTCCTGGCTGATGGGAATTGTGCTCATTAGAAAGCGGAAATCCATTTCAGAATTATCTTGGTGGGAGGACTTTCAGTAGGTGCTGTTGGGTCCAAACAACTGTCTCGAAGCCCTGGTATCTTTGTTAGTAACAATGTGAAACAAAACACAACAGAAAAAAAAAAAACCTACTCTCAAATTCCTTGAGGCGATTCCATCCTGCTCTTAAGTAGCTGTAAGGGAGAATAGGCTCTTTCTCCACAATAGGTTACCTTTAATTCAATTTGACTTTTAAACTTTTTAAATTTTATTTATTAGATTTAAAAAATACCAATTCAAGTTCCCACTCCCTCCCCTCCTCCCATTCCCTCCACACATCTTCCCACCGTACCCCCATCTAATACTCAGAGAGGATAAGGCACATTGTCTTGTGGAAAGGTCCAAGGCCCTCCCTACTATATCTAGGCTGAGCAAGGTATACATCCAAAAAGAATTGGATCCCAAAAAGCCAGTACATGCAGTAGGGATAAATCCTGGTGCCACTGCCAGTGGCCCCTCAGTTTGCCCCAGCCATGCAACTGTCAACTACATTCAGAGGCACTAGTTTGGTCCTATGCCTGTTCCTTTCCAGTCTGGCTGGAGTTGGTGAGCTCCCATTAGCTCAGGCAAACTGTTTCAGTGAGTGAACCCATCATGGTCTTGACCTCCTTGCTCATATTCTCATTCCTTCCACTCTGCAACTGGACTTTGGGAGCTCAGTCCAGTGCTCTGATGTGGGTCTCTGCCTCTGTCTCCATCAGTTGCTGGATGTAGGTTCTATGGTGATATTTAAGATAATCATCAGTCTGACTACAAGGCAAGTCAAGATTGCCTCCCCCCCACCCCAGTGTTGTAGCAAGCTCTTGGTCCCTCTTAAGTCCCCTCAGTATTGGAGCAAGCTGTGTTTCAGAGTTCCACCAAGGTTGCAGGAGGATAGGCAGGTTTGGGTGTGAGGTGTGGCTAGTAGTTTGGATAGCGGCTGGATGGGTTTGGGTTTGGAGGGATCCTAGCCTTCTTTTCTAATTTTTAAAAAAGATTTATTTGTTTGGGGCTAGAGCGGTGGCTCAGCAATTAAGAGCACTGACTACTCTTCCAGAGGACTTTGATTGATTTCTAGCTCCCACATGGTGGTTCATAACCATCAGTAACTCCAGTTTCAAGGAATCTACTCCCTCTTCTGGCCTCCACAGGTACTAGGCACAAACATACATACATGTGGACCAAACACCCAGCTACATAAAGTAAAACTAAGCCGGGTTATGGTGACACACACCTTTAGTCCCAGCACTCTGGAGGCAGATTCTTATGAGTTTGAGACCAGACTGGTCTACAAAGCAAGTTCCAGAACAGCCAGAGCTGTTACACAGAGAAATTCTGTCTGAAAACAATGACAACAACAACAAAACCCAACCAACCAAATGAATAAATAACTTTTAAAAAGACTTATTTTATATGTCTGGAAGTTTGACTTGCCTGCATGCCAGTTCACCATGTGTATTAGTGCCCTTGGAAGTCAGAAGAGGGCACAAGATCCACTGGAACTGGAGTTACAGACAGTTGTTAGACACCACGTGGGGCTGGGATTTGAACTAGGTCCTCTGGAAGAGTAGTCAGTACTCTTTCACTGAGTCATCTCTCCATCCCTTTCTCTCTATATTATGCATTTAATGTCATTTATATGAAATGTCTGCCCAAACTGTGGGAAGAATATTCACACACACACACACACACACACACACACACACACACACACACGGGGAGGGGGAAGAAAGAGAGGAAGAGAGAATACGATTTTGACTACACTCTGTAGCAACTAGACCACAATCCCCGATTGTTCAAAAGCTCGTTGGGTAATAGCTAAAAACTTCCCTAATTTTGCCTCCACTTCCAACTCAGAAAACCAGTAGTGTTCCCCAAACTAATCATGAAGGACGATCCCTTTCTAGCAGCTTGCCTCTTCCCCACCGACAACAATCTCAGTCAGACCACACCCAAGCCTTCCTTTGTGGTTCTTTAGCAGGCTTTCCCACTCCCCTGCCTGTCTTTGGGTTCTAGCCAAAGCAAGTGATGGCCGAATCCCTTATAGTGAGTGCAGAACCAATACTACGTTCTCAAGTGAGTGCTCTTATTAACTTATATTCACAGTTCCTGAGAGGTCCCAACAAGACGCTGTGCCACCACTTGTAGCTCGAGATCCCAGCCTTTGGCTAGGTGAGTGCCCACAGAGCCTCTTTGGCCAGGTGAGTGCCCACAGCGCCTCTTTGACCAGTGAGGACCCATAGATCATCTTGCACATTTGCTAGAAACTGTTGGTTCTGCATTGATGTAGTGAGCAGGCACTGACTCTGAATTCTTTTTCTTTGCGTTGGGTTTGTAGCTATCTACTTTCAGTTTGGTACTTGAGTTTTGTTAGTGGTTCTCATATTGTGGAGTCCTTGCTAGGACCAGCTTATTCCTTTTTATCCCCATCTCTTTTTTTGTGTTGCTCATAACAATGAGATTTGAAGGGCAGAACTGGCCTTACAGATCAATGAATTTGCAGTTCTCTCTAAACTGGTGTCCATTTAGACAAATAATCATAGGTCACTAATAAAACCAGGTATGGTTAATTATCTATCTTGATCCAAAAAGTCATCTATCTGGTTTACAGCCTCTTGAGGGTATGCAGATTGTAGAGTCTGGGGTGAAAGGTTGGAGACATGAGAAGCGGGTGGAGAGATACTTCTTTTCTTATTCTTCCCAATGATAGACAGCTCTTCAGGGTGTTGTAAGTCTAAATACCCTGCACATCTAGAAAAACTTTCCTCCTCCTCCTCCTCCTCCTCCTCCTCCTCCTCCTCCTCTTCTTCTTCTTCCTCCTCCTCCTTCATTTATTTATTTTTGTTTTGTTTTTCGAAACAGGGTTTCTCTGTATAGCTTTGGTGTTTGTCCTGGAACTAGCTCTTGTAGACCAGGCTAGCCTCGAACTCACAGAGATCCTCTGCTTCTCGGGTGCTGGGATTAAAGGTGTGTGCCACCACTTTCCGGCTAGAAAAACCTGCTTCTTAAATGTTTAGAGTATACATCAAACAGATGTCCTCATTGTTCCAAATAGTAACTGATTTTCTTTATGAGTTAGAGAACTCCAAATTCTTCCAGGTATAGCTGTAAGCATTCTGTTTCAATCTCCCTGATCAAATTTGCATTGCATGGATACTCTGTATGTGGGCATGCAGTGTTTATCTCTGTGTGTGAATATGTGTGTGTGTGTAACTTTATGATCCAGAGGAAAACAGCTGGATCAGAGCTGTTCAATAGCAATGATGACAAATTCCTAACAAAATTGATTGGGTTAAGAAAATATACTTAAAAATCCCCCATTCTCAATCAGTGGAGAGAGGCAAAGGACCAAGAAAAGTGTCAAAAATCAGCGTACAGCAGAGATTGCATTTGGCTAAGCAAGCTTCCTACCTGAAGCCCACAAGTACTACCAGAAAATTTCCTGGGTTTTGCAAATGACCCAAGAGGCTGCCACTCAGAGAACTTGACCAAAATAGTTCCCCAAATCACAGTGAGCCTCACAGATGGCTCAATGAGTAAAGGTGTTTGCCCATAGGCCTGGCAACCTGAGTTCTACCCCCAGATTCCACAAGGTAGGAGAGAACTGACTCCTGAGAGCTGTCCTCTGACCTCCACATGCATGCGTTGTGACATGTGTGTACACACACACACACACACACACACACACACACTAAAGTTTAAAAAGAAAGCAAAATCAGGATGAACTTGTGATCAGTTCTGTGGTGAAAATGGGCATCCCACAGACTTAGCTTCTTTCATGAAGCTGGCCTCAGGCTGTGTAGGGATAAAGGGCCAATTTCAGAAAGGTGTCCTTACATCTGCTTTCCCGCCTCCTCATTCTTGTCCTGTCCTAATGGTTCTATCTTTCCCCCTTTCAGGAAAACATTTCAACTAACAGTTGAGAAGATGAATTTCTTGGAAGGTCCAGAATCGAGCTTTGCTGAATGTATCACAGATGGAGGAAAAGCCACCCTTGGGGTTAGGCAAAGGGCGGGAATGGACCCTGCGCAGCAGATGAGACAGAATGAGGCCATCTCGCAAGCAGTGTGTGCTCTGCTGAATTCTGGCGGGGGAGTGGTCAAGGTTGAGATCGAGAATGAAGACTACCATTATGAGAGTGATGGAGAGGGCCTGGATCTGCCGCCATTGTTCAGAAATCATGTAGATCAGATGCTGCAGGGAAAACTCTTTTTACTATTTGTGAATTCATGGAACGTGGCAGCCTCAGGTGTGCGGCTCGCCACCTTGTGTTCCAATCTGTACCATAGACGTGGAACATCTACTGAGGTCATGGATTCTCTAGAAGCCCTACTATTCCTCCGAAGAAAGGTTCGGGCTTGTGGGAATGTCGATGATCCCAACTTATTAAATCCACAGGAACTTGCGGTTGATGATCAGATGATCTTAGCTTCTGATTTATTTGGTAAACAGCAGCTTCAGTACCTGGAAACACTCAGCTTTACAGAGTCCCCACACGTTGAATTTCAAATGTTCTCGGCAGACCTTTCCCAGGGCATTAAAGAGAAACTCCCCAAGTGTGTTTCTGCACTTGCCAATTCTGAAGGAGGATATGTGTTTCTCGGTGTGCATGATGAGACCCATCAAGTCATTGGATGTGAAAAGGAAAAGGTAAATCCTTCCACCTTGCGGGCCACTATTGATGGCTGCATCAGGAAGATGCCTGTCCACCACTTCTGCTCACAAGTCCACAAAGTGCAATATGACATCAATGTCCTTGAAGTGTATGATAAGGGGGCTCTCCATGGGTACGTCTGTGCAATCAAGGTGGGACAGTTCTGCTGTGCAGCGTTTGCCAAAGTGCCTGACTCCTGGGAGATGAAGGACAATCAGAAGAAGCAGCTAGCCACAAAGGACTGGGCAGCTTGGATGATAGAAACTGACTCAGGTGAGGGAACAAGACTGAAATATTAGAATGTTTGCCCGGGGGTGGGAGGGCAGAAAGAAAAAGGAGATGTGTAATTCTGTGGTATTTGGGGAAAGAGATTGATTCCTATAGATGTTGGGCCACTGTCCTTCCCCGTGACTGCTCATCTTGAATATTGTGTGTTCACCACAATGGCAGTCCCACTAGAGGCTGGTGCAGGGGCAATCTGAACTAGTTACTTCTATTCGACATTCTTTCTTTTCTTGTTTAATTGAGGCAGGGTAGCCTAGGCTGGCCTCAGATTCAACACCCTCCTGCTGAAGCCTTCAAGTGTGTTGGCAACAGATGTGAACCACCATGCTTGGCACTGCTTGCTTCCCGTGTGTGGTGAAACCTCTTCCTTTCTGATGACCAGCTTGTATTTAATTATTCAGCAAACCCCTTTTCTACACCAATAGCTGTGTCTTTTCTAACTTCCTGACAGTTTCCTCTTCTCATGTTTAAAGCAGTCTTAGAAAAAAATTAATTTTATTTTACATATATAGATACTTTACCTGCATGATAGCTGTGTAACATGTGTGTGCAGTGCCTGTGGAAGCCAGAAGAGGGCATTGGATCCACTGAACCTGGAGTTACTGATAGTTGGGAGTTGCCATGTGGGTGCTGGGAACAGAACCCAGGTCCTCTGGAAGAATAGTCTCTTACCTGCTGGGCCATCTCCCAACCCACAAAAATTATTCTTAATGCTTTCTTTGAGTTTTTCATGAACAAACCACAATTTCCCCATTTTCCCATTTCAGGACCATAAATGGTAGGCTAGAGAACAGGGATGTGATAGGCATAAGCTTTGGACAAGGAAAGATAAAACAAAATTAGACGAGAGAAAGCCAATGGTAACTTCAAAAGTAACAAAACAAACAAACAAAAGGGTCCATTTTAGAACTGCATAGCACTCTACCCCCACTGACCTTCTCATCTTCTACTCACATATACTTAAAATTGCATTCTCAAAATATACAAGATTTTATTTCAATATGAGTTACGAGCATGGGTGGCTCTTGCAGAGGACCTGGGCTTGGCTTCCATTCCATCTGTGCTGGAGATGCAAATATCCACAGATCCCAGCTTCGAGTCAACGTGGCTCAGCTAAGAAGCAGGATCTGCCCTCTGTATACTCCACTCTTGTTTCCTCAGATCTCTCCAGTTTTCCTCAGATGGTCGTCTCGAGGACTGTACACACCACACCCCGCAGCAAGACTGTGTACATACATAAGAACTTGAAGAGTGTGGAAGAATTGCAGAAGGATTACTTTCCAGGTAATGGTCATCTCTGGCCACCAAAAGACATGTTGATTGTTCTTATATTTAGAGAAAAAAAAAACCCTTGATTTTTATGTCCATGTAAAACTATTCATGGGGAAGTTTAGAGAGGGGTTGGAGCTATGACTTAGCAGGGAAAAGCACTGGCTGCTCTTTCAGAGGACCCTGGTTTGATTCTCAGCACCCACGTGATGGCTTACAACTGCTACCACAATGGGTAAGTACATCGCAATATAGTTACAGAATGGAACATAGCAGGGAAAATGGGCGAAGCATGATTAATAAAAACTCAGAGACAGATACTGGGGTTCAACCTGAAGGCCAGAAAAGCAAAGCAGCCAGTCACTGGCTCTTACCTCGACCTCAGTCTGAAAAAAGGTGATCCTGCCCCCAGGAAACCTCAGAATGAGACTGAGAGCTGTCTCCTCCCATTTTATAATCCTCTCTAGTTCCAGGATTAAGGGGGTGCAAAACTACCGCCTGGTTTCTATGGCAAGCTAGTATGGCTACTGGGATTAAAGGTGTGTGTCATTGTGGCTACTGGGATTAAAGGTGTGTGTCATCATGGAGGCTGCTACAAATGTGTTCATTAATTGCTATGTGCAAGCAGAGGGCTGAGTGTAAACCATGTTCAGGCACATCTCGTCATGACCCTGTTCGTGGATAGTCTTGATTTTTTCATTGCAAAATGTTTCTAAACATTCTAGTGTTTCTAAACATGGATTTTTTCTTTGTTTTAGTTATTTCACTATGCATACAGACAGGACATAGAACAACGATACAATTTAATAAGTATTGTACCATGAAACTTGTATAACTACCACACAAATAAAATAGGTAACTAAACTCCACAAATGCTCTGCCATCATTTCTTTTTCAAATTCCCTTATTTTGAACAAACTTTTTTCTCTTTATTTCTTTCTTCTCATCTTTCTTCTCTCCTTCCCTCCTCTCTTCCTCCCTCTCTCTTTCCCTCCATCCCTCCCTCCCTTCCTTTCTCCCTCTCTCTCTCTCTCTTTTGTTTTTCAAGACAGGATTTTTCTGTATAGCCCTGGCTGACCTGCAACTCACTTTGTAGACCAGGCTGGTGTGGAACTCACAATTAAAGGCATGTGCCACAAGTCTGGCACCTTTTCTATTTTAAGCAGAATGATACACATTTTCTATACATAATTAATGTGTTCTAAGGATAAATTCTGAGCAGTAATGATTGTTTATTCATTTAGATAAACATTGCCAAAGTGCAATCCAAAATATGTGCCCAGTCCCATGTTCATCAATGTGGTCTTACCATGGTGATTTTCTTCTAGAAGAATCTTAGAAGCATTTTGTTATATCAAAAAGAAAAGAGAAGAATCCGATATTCTTTTAATGGCCAATATATGTAATCAGTGAGCTGATTTGGAAATAATTGTCAGTTTTACAATAGTAATTTTTTTCATAGTTCAACATGGATTGCCTGGTTGATTATACACAACTTCTCTCTTACTTTTGCTTAACAACCTATTATCATTTTATTAGCCTTGAAAGATAATATTGCTAATTAAACTATTAGATATGCGACTAGTGAAACATTGAAGTACATTTACAATCAATGAAATATGGCATATGTCCCAATCATTTCAAAGCTTTATAACATTGTTATTTTATATGTTAATGCCATTTTTAGAGTGTGTTCTTTTATGATTATAATTTCTTATGGTGATCTGCCCATATGCAGGAAAAACTTATGGTTTTATTAAATTCTTACTTAATAAATGTATTAATGCAAAGAGAAAAGATAATTTTAAGTAACTTTTCCTGTATTCATGATCTTTTATTTCTTTAGTTCATTGGTTAATTATTTCAAACACAATGTCAAATTAAAATAACAGTAGAAAAAATGTAGCAGGATACTACTGGGTCCAGTCTAGTATTTCTCTCAGCCCAGATGTACTTTATTGGTGCGTCCAAGCTGTCTGTGTATCGAGTTAACTAAGCATCACCAAGATGTATCTCCTGTTATGACAACCTCCCATTTTGTTTTAGAATCTGCATATTTCTCTGTGTAAGCACTTTAAAAATTAATTGTTCAGAGACTGGAAAGACAGCTTAGCAGTTAAGAGCACTTGCTGCTCCTACAGGGACCCTGATTTGATTCCCAGCATCCACAGAAAGGCTAACAAACATTTGAAACTCCAGCGCCAAGAGATCAGACGCCACCTTCTGGCCTCTGCAGGCACTGTACACACACAGTACACAGACATTCATGCAGACAAAATACCCATGTACATAAAAAATAAATCAATTTTTTTAAAAAGAAAAAAAATTAATTGTTCAAAATTCTATCTTTTGGAGTGTTCATTGTACATTCACTCAGACAGTTAAGACACAGAAACATGAACATAACCTTGGTTCTACTTTGTACCTTGAATTTGAAACACAAATTTTGGTTTGAATTTGATTTTTTTTTTGTTTCTGTCTTTGTTTTTAGACAGGGTCTCACTATGTAGTCCTGGCTGTCCTGGAACTCACTATGTAGACCAGACTGGCCTTGAACTCACAAAGATCCACCTACCTCTGCCTTCCAAGTGTGAATTTGATTTTTTTGAAGTGTATCTATAGTTTGTGTTAGATTCCAGTCAGGGTTTATAACACTCCAGATTCTAAGAGACTCAAATACATATAATATGTACCCAATAGGTATACATCATTTATTAATAGTATACATCCAAAAAGTTTTATAGGTGTCTTGCATCTTTATACATACGCATACATACAACATATAAAAATCTTTTTAAAGACTTAAAAATCAGAATTAACCCCTTGAGGTAGACATTTTTGTGGTGCAATTTGGGATGTTGGCACACCCATCATTTTGTGTAGCCACCATCACAGTCAACACACAAAATAGTTCCAGCATTCACAATGGAAACCTCCTTCATGCTGCCTCTCCTATAACCAAACTGCCCTAACTCCTAACCCGTGGCAGGTGTTGCTCTGCTGCCTACGCCGGTCAGCATGTGGCTTCTGCCAAGTGTCCAGACGGCTCCTTGAATGCTTTCCCTGTACCACCATCCCCCTCTCTTGGTCTCTCTCTTCTGGAAACACAAACTGGGTGAAGTTATCTGACCGAGCCGTGGTGTTTGTTGCCTCCACATTTATACATGCTTCTACTTTTTATAGACAGTCTTACTATGTGGCCCTGGTTGGCTTGTAACTCAACAGAGATCTGCTCACCTCTGTCTCCTGAGTCCTGGGATTAAACCCTTGTGTCAAAATTCCCAGCTCATGCTTCTCTTTTTATTATCTCTCTAGTCCCACACCCTTTTGCTGGCCAACTAGATGGCACCCTCTGAGGCTCAGCTGAGCTGTGTCTTTTTTTTTCCCATAAAGACTTGTAAAGACTTGCATTTGGCTTTTTTTTTTTTTTTTTTTTGCTAAGCTGTATTTTTCACTAATGTTCACACAGTGCTAATGGGGCTCTTTCTTGCTGCCTTTGCTACTTTGTACTCAGTTGTTTGTGTCTATCACAACTGGTTATGGGCTTCCCCAGACACAGGATGGCTTATCTTTTTGTTACTAACATAAAACTGATCCTTGACACATGGTAGGGCCCAAAGGCTGGCAGGATCTACATCATATAATGATGAAGTAGACTAAAGTGGAAAAGACCAATTATTAGATACTGATTTATCAACTTATTTAGTTATTTACTTAAGGCGCTGCTTGTACTGCTTGTTTGCCAAGGATGACTTTGCTTACTACCTGAAACAGAATGATCTGGAGAAATAGCTGAAACACAGGTCATGGTTCTTAAAATCCTGTTGACAGCCCTGTACCCTTCTGTAAAATCTTCCATGCTTGCCTACTCCACCTTGTAATTTAGAGTATAAAATGCACGTATGGATTAGACCTGGGATCTGAAGGCTTTCAGGAGCCATCCTGGTGACATCTCCTCTCTTCCCCGCTCATTGGTGTCAGAGTGCTTATTCCAGAAAGATTCCCACCGTCATTGTGATTATTAGCTTGTCCTGTGAGTCTCTAACTTATTTGGATTGTTTTCCTTGCCTAGTGTCACCCAACAGGATTACATATACTCCAGAATGGCTCTACAAGGACCTCATCTCAGAGCACAGAGGACTCAGAAACTTAATAAACACGGAAATGCGCTCTGTCTCTCAAGGGATACTGATTTTCTCCCACAGCTGGGCTGTGGACCTGGGTCTTCAAAAGAAGCAGGGTGTCATCTGTGATGCTCTTCTGATTTCCCCAAACAATGTCCCAATCCTGTACACCATTTGCAACAAGTTGGATCTGGCGTACAGGAGGTATTCTATGACAGTCTCCCGGACCCTGAAGCAGAAGCTGGTGAACATGGGCGGATACACTGGGAGACTAGGCATCATTCCCTTGGCCTTGCAGCTGGGCCAAACACAAAGGGCCAGCGTAGAAACACCCATTTACCCTGAATCCTATAACTTCACAAGCGTGCAGCAGATGGAAGCTCTGTTGCAATCCCTTGTGATCGTCTCGTTAGGGTTCAGATCCTTCCTAAGTGAAGAGTTTCACTCGGAGGTGGTGACGCTACTCACAGACCAGCAGTACCAGCTACTTTTAAAGGATCTTTGCAAGAACAGAGAGCTGTTTGTTCACGGCACACCTGGATCGGGGAAGACCACTCTGGCCCTCAGGATCATGGAGAAGATTAGGAATGTGTTTAGATGTCAAGCTGACGACATTCTCTACATCTGTGAGAACCAGTCTTTGAAGAGGTTTGTGAGGTATGTAGCCTGACTCCATTCGTTTCTTTCTGTTGGGCAATTTTAGTGAGTGTGGCATTCACAGGCTAAGCTCTGGGTTGTAGTAACCATGTTCAGGAACTGTAACTATAGTTTAGGTTGACTTACTTCTCTTGGCTGAAGAAACCTGACTGTGTTTCTTTTTTTTTTTTTTTGGTTTTTCGAGACAGGGTTTCTCTGTAGCTTTGGCGCCTGTCCTGGAACTCCCTTTGTAGACCAGGCTGGCCTCGAACTCACTGACTGTGTTTCTTACACTTGCAGCCGGAGAAACATCTGCCAGGCAGTGACACGGACAGCCTTCATGAGAGATACCTTTGCTAACATTAAACACATTGTTGTGGATGAAGCTCAGCATTTCCGAACTGAAGATGGGGACTGGTATGCAAAGGCAAAATCCATCATCCAGAGAGGGAGAGATGGTCCAGGAGTTCTCTACGTTTTTCTGGATTATTTTCAGACCAACCACTTGTGTTGCAGTGGCCTCCCTGAACTCCAGCACCAGGAGCCAGTTTTGAAGCTCAGTAGGATGCTCCGCAATGGAGACAACATAGTCAATTACCTACAAGAGATAATGCAGCAAATCAGAGACAGTCCTCCCCCAAATGTCCCCCCAGAAGCCCTGAACATGGGCCAAGAACTTGAATTGACTCCAGGTGTCACAGGCAGTTTAGAGATAACTGACTACTTGAATTTGGAGCAGATGGCAATCTTTGTAGCAGAGAAGTGCTGGTGTCTCTGGGGGTCTGGCTATTACCCCAGGGATGTTGCTGTTCTTTGCAGCAAAGCCAAAGATGTAGTAAAATTTAAAGAAAAGATTCTCCTAGCATTGAGGAGGAGGACCATGTCTCAGATCAGTGTAGCAGTGCAGGTCAGGGAGGAGTTGGATAATCTGGGGAATCACATCGTGTTGGCTGGTGTTCACCAATTTTCAGGCATGGAAAGAAGCATAGTGTTTGGGATCATTCCAGTGGGATCGGAGACAGACATTTTTCACAATGTTCTGCTCTGCCTGGCTTCCAGGGCAAGAACCCATCTGTACATTATAAAGGTTTTGCTTTGATAAGAAGATACCAGTCTTCAATTAGACAGGGCTGGCCTCTGGATGACTTGGAAACTCTTTGATCTCAACATTTACACAGCAAAACATTTCCCGTACAGCCACCTGCCAAGTCATGTACTCTCCTCGATTACAAGTGCAAAGAATTCAGATAGTAGTAAGATAGACCAGGGTAATTAGCTGGCATTGAGATCTTTTTCTCTCTTATAGTTGTGTGTGTTTGTGTGTGTGTGTGGGGGGGGAAGATATTGTGGTGCACACCTTGAATCCCAGCACTTGGGAGGCTGAGGCAGGTGAATCTCTGTGAGTTCAAGGCCAGCCTGGTCTACAGAGTGAGTTCCAGGATAGCCAGGGCTACACAGGGAAACCCTGTCTTAAAAAACAGATAACAACAACAAAAAGACAAAAGGGTCAAAAACCAATATGCTGGGGAAATGCTGGCAGCAAAGGTCATAATTTAGTTTCTTTCCCCCTCTAAAGTTCCTATACCTGGTAGTTTAATCCCAACCCTCTGGAGGCAGAGGCAGGTGGATCTCTGAGAGTTTGAGGCCAGCTTGGTTAATATAGCGAGTTTCAGGCCAGACAGGGTTGCTTAGTGAGACCTTGCTTCAAAAATTTCTTTTCTATACATAACAGAAAATTTCCAAGATTAAAGGAAAGTAGGACAAAGAATGCAATAGGTGGAAGGGCACAGGAGTGTAAATAGTTCCTATACATAGAGTGATTGCTTATGGGGGCAGCAGTGTGGCATAACCAGCCCGAGTGATGACGTGCCATCTAGTGGGAAATACTTCTGTGTACTGTACTTCCAGAAGGGTCTAGCAATGACCCTGAGAAGCTTGAATGCTTATAAATTTAGGTTGAGATTCCTCTCTAAGGCACTTACTCTCACAGAGAACTTACACATGTGCAAAGATTTCTGGGTGGAAGGATAGGGTTTTGCTTCTCGTAGCAGAATGCAGAACAATAGTAATGTTGATTCAGATGGCTGGAAGGGAGTAATTTGCAGACTGTCACAGCATCCATCACATCATGGAGCCAGAAAAGGTGAGATCTTCATCACATTTGTGTGGGACCATCTCTAAGATGTTTTGTACTGTGAACAAAGCATCATTCAAAACCATGTCTATCCTATGCTTCCAGAGTTGAGTCGTTGCTTGTAGACGCATAAAGGATTTTTGGAAATGTATCTTAAAAATTGGTAGCAGTATTTGACTCTGGGGAAGGGAAATTGATGCCAAAGGGAGTACCCAGCTTTTGCTTTTGATGACTTTAGGTTCTGTACCATGTAATACTCGATGGGATCTTGCCTTGGGTGTGTTTTTGCTTATGAATATAATGGCTTTATGAATCACTTTCTCAGTTTTTATCAACCTGTATCCCGGATAAGCATTTCATAGTGAATGTTGATGTATAGTGAGTGGGGGATTTGAAAACTACACAAAATAGATTTTTACCACATAGAATTTTGAAGTACTGACTCACTGTCATATTTGTTTCAAGCTTTATTTTTTTAAATAAAAGACATAAACTATTGCACTTATAATGGAATTATTCTTTCTTCTTTTGCATCTTATTGCTCTCTTTTTCCTTCCCTTAAGGACAATGACAATCAGGTTTTTGGGATATTTGTTAAGTGTTCACACACACACACACACATACACACACACACACTCACACACACACACACACACGTGATGACATCAGACCACACTAACCAATAGAATAAAGTCAAGACGGAAGGCAAGACTGGGAATTCAAATGACTGACATTTGGTTTCTATGGCAACAATAGTAATTGTACAGATAGTAGAGGTCTGGAGAAACTGCCCAGTCAGTGAATTGCTTGCTGTGCTGAGTTCAGAAGCTAGAAACTACAGAAAGAATTGGGGCGTGGTGATGCACACATAATCCCAGCACTGGGGAAGTGGATATAGGTTTCTGACCTATTTGAGTTTCTGCCCTGACTTCCCCCAGTGATGGGCTGGTACCTGGAAGTGTAAGCAAAACAAACCCTCTCCTCCCCAACTGGCTTTTGGTCATGGTGTTTTGTCATAGCAGTAAAAACCCTAACAGTGTGCTTGGCCATCAGCCCTGGTGCTGTCTGCTCTTCCTGCAACTAGCCCAGCTTACCTTTCCTTGATAAAAGGCCACAGGCATAGACAAAAAGGAACCCAGACAGGGCTTTACTGAGGTCTCTGCTGTAGCACCAGGGGACAGTGCTCAGGAACAAGGTCTCCTGGACTTGGACATGCTGACAGTGAGAGCAGGGACAGTTTAGATAACCCTCTGGAGCAATGGTAGCTGTCCTAGAATCTCGTTAGGCTGTCCCCATGGTGGCCTTGCTCTGGAACAGATGAGGTGGTTTCTCTAGGAGCTATGCAAGGACTACTATGGTTTCTGTGACCTGGAAATCTCCTTGCAGCTTGTGCTGCTGAAACTAAGCCCTTCAAGCAGCTGTGGGCACTTAGGGCAGCTGGAGCCAGCTGAAAGAAGGAGTTGCTTGATGGACAGCATTTGCAGTTTCCACAAAAGTCATGGCAGTGGGCAGGGAGATAGCCCAGCAGGGGGAGGCACTTGGCACCAAGCCTGACAACTTGAGCCCTGAAATCCACACGGTGGAGAGAGAAAGCAGAGTCCACAATTGCCTCTGACCGCCAATGAGTGCTTTGGCACACGTCTCCCTGACACAGTAAATACATACATATGATTTCTAAGTATTAACAGTCTGGGGTTGTGAGGATGACAGTAACGGCTCTGGGAACTGGCTTCTTTCTTCCTTACTTTAAATCATTTCAACAAAGCTTCCTTCACTCACAATTCCAGTTGTTTAAAAGATAGACTTCTTCGTGTTTGTCACAAAGATCTGTCAGTTCTCTAAGAAACCCAGGACAAGGCTTGGACTATACCTGTGGCTCCTGCCAATAGTTCTCACCACGTCCCCTACCTTAATCCTCTCCAGCAGATTCCTCTGCCCAGCTTCTCATTCCTCCATAAACCAGTCATTTCAGTCATCCACTCTCTTGGTCCTAGGCTCCTTTCTTGGTCTGCCTATCCTCTCTTCTGACCCCCTCTCTCCCTCTCTCACTCAACCCACTCTTTTCTCTCATGGCCTGGTCAGTCTGGACCCTTCCAGATGCCTCTTGCTGTACCCTCCCTCATATCTACAACAAAAGCCTTCTCCTTAACAAAGCCTAGGAGCAGCCATATCTCTCTTCCTTTTCCTTCAGGATCTAAGTATTATTAAATATTAAATCCTTTTTCCCTCAGTGGATTTTATCCAGTTTTTAACTCCTAGCCAACTGACTTTACAGAGAGATAGTATATCCCCTCGGGAAGGTTAAACTTCCCTAATCTGTCCCACAGTGACACACAGGGCAAGGTTCCAAGGCAATTGAGTAATTTTGCTGGACCAGAGACAACAGTCTCTTTGTTATTTCCTGCTATGTAAGAGATGACTCCCCACTCACTCCCCTGCTTTTGTAAAGTAGTTTTTAAATTAAATTAATTTAAAGTTAAGGCAAAATGCACAAAGATTAGTAAAAGAAAAAAGTATTAAGAGTTCGGAGGGCCACCCTGCTTCTCCTCTTCGCATTTCAGCAAAATAACCTAAAGCCGTAACTGAGAGAATGCTGGGAGTCCACATCTTGGTGACCCGCAAAGCCAAAATTAGCACAATCGAGAAGCATTTGTTGCCTGCAGCTGTCAAAGAATACGAGGGTCATTTCCAAAACAAGGTTCTTCTCAAGCAAAAGTGGAGCCGAGGTCCTGCAGACACTCATACGGAGCAGGGGTAGGGGGGATGTCTTAGTTACTTTTTATTGCTGTGACAAAACACCATGACAAGAAAAACTGTTTTCAAAAGCATTTAATTTGGGGGCTTATAGTTCCAGAGACTATCATGGTGGAGAACATGGCAGTGGGCAGGTGAGCATGTGTGATTGCTAAAGCTTTCTTTCAAGTTTAAATTACTGTTCTTAAGACATTTATAGGACAAAAATGCTCCTAGTCTGTAAGTCCCACTGTCCATGGACAGATGGGATGCAGGAGGTTCATGTAGGATAGCAGGTACTGTATTTTCACTTCTGTAAACGAGAGTGGGCCGAGCAGCTGCACAACGTGTATGCTTGATCAAATGTAGGCAGGGGGGACACAGTCAGGACATATATCAGAATGTATGCTTGTCTCTGATTGGATGAAGGTGTGAAGTACACAGACCTGTATGTTTTGCCTCGATAAGCCCCTGATTAATGTAATTTGGGGTCCTACTCCGGGAATCCTAGGAATGGACCTGGCCAGTATCCATGGACCTGGCTGGTATTTAATAAAGTTTGCTTCAAATTTGGCTCAAAAAATTGTGGTGTTGGACCCTAAAGTCCAATCACCAAGGAGGAGTCGCCCCAAGAGACCACTCTCACACCGCAGTTGATGTAAAAGCAAGAGGATTTAATTCTGTTGCGACAGGATTTTTTAGCATTCGAGAAGCCAAAAGACCCCGGATGACTGTTACAAGCTATTTTTAAAGCAAAAAGCCATAGAAGCAAGGTGGGGAAACTTGGGGGTTGTTTTTCAACTATTAGGATTGGCTTATTCAAAGGGTTACTAACAACAATTGGTCTGTGCCCGGGCTGGAGAGCGGTTGCCAGATCAGGTAAGGTAAGAGGGAACATTTAAGGGTTACTCTGACCCCTTCCCAGGGACTAAGTCAAAACATCTGTGGACATCTGTGGGTTATCTTGTCCCAATTCTAGGAGTGGAGCTCTATTTGGAGAACATTCACAAAGACACAGGGAGATGGAAAGTCCCCAATATTCCAGTACATGCTGGTGTAGTTGTTAGGTTCTGGGGGGGGGGGGAGTGCTAAGGCTGAAAGTCTCAGAAAATAGCCTCAGAGTTGTCTTAGAGTTCTACAGTGGTAGTAGTCTTATTCTTGCCCGATGGGATTAACATTTTCTGGAGTCTCCAGAGAGATTGGTCCACTCAAAGTCTAAAGCCAGACCTTTACTCTGGGACTCCAAGAGCTGAAGGGTCACCTCAGGAGGGGTGTCCCTTGAGATGTTCCAAGTCTCCAAGGTGTGCCTTCGGTTTCGCAGATTATAGAATAAACTGTGACTCTGAGAAAAGCAACAAGCATGTGCAGAGGTCCCCCATGGTAAGTCACAGTAATTTCTGTGACATCTGCTTCTGTTGGGATCCTGATCTGGGATGAGGAAGGTTATGATGGGACCTGGTACTCTCCTGTTCAAGCTAAAAAACAAAATATCGTACCTGCTCACCTGAGGTTCTGTTTGTGTGTGTGTGTTTTTTGGTCTTGTTTGTCTTGTCTTTGTATAAGTTTTGTTGCAGACATGGGAGCTGAGATGGATATGGGTTAGGTTGAATTGAATGTATGAATGATGGTGGCCACCACCTATTTTGCCTATTTTGCATTTGACTGGTCTCCTTTGAGGGCATGAGCTTACTGTGTTCTGTGTTTATTGGTTTTGGTTTTGTTGTCTCTGCCTCCACTTGCCATTTGTCATGGCTGCTTAGATGGCTCAGAGTTTCTTATCTCTGAGCTTTCTGGTCACTGGACTCAGTTTAGCAGGGAATCAAATGCCTTATGAATATGGATAATATTAGAGTTGTTTTATGCTATTTTACTTTATTGGAAAGCTGGTTTGGGGGCTGGGTTAGGACTCTCTTCTCTAGAACCAAGCATGCTTATTTAAAAGTCTCTTTTCTGTAGTCCTCATTGTCCGCTATGAACTCAAGAACAATGGCAATGGGTTTTTGATCCTACTGCACGTACTGGCTTTGTGGGAGCCTAGGCAGTTTGGATGCTCACCTTACTAGACCTGGATGGAGATGGGTGGTCCTTGGACTTCCCACAGGGCAGGGAACCCTGATTGCTCTTTGGGCTGACGAGGGAGGGGGACTTAACTGGGGGAGGGGGAGGGAAATGGGAGGCGGTGGCGGGGAAGAGACAGAAATCTTTAATAAGTAAATAAATAAATAAAATAAAAGGTAATATACTAGAAAAAAAGTCTCTTTTCTGTCCTGTGGCAGGTGAGTCATCTGCTTTTGTGACAGGGAAAAGAAAGCAAAGAAAACCATAAAAAATTAGACTATTGGTTTTATTTAACTGTCTAAAACTTTTGGTAAGATATAAATCTTATCTCAAGATTTGTAAGATTGTTATGTGAATCTTTTGTACCTCTCCGGGTGGTGGCAGCCCATGCCTTTAATTCCAGCACTTGGGAGGGAAAGGCAGGTGGATCTCTGTAAGTTTGAGCCAGCCTGGTCTACAGAGTGAGGTCCAGGACAGTCAGAGATAAACAGAAAAAAAAAACTAAAAAAGAAATCTTCTGTACTTGAGATTTGTAAGTTTATTGGGTATGGTTCAAATTCTGTGACAAAAAAAGTTAACTTAAAACTTATAACACAGGGGTTGGTAGTTAAAAATCTATACATAGGTAACCTTAAAGGAGTCATGTGGTTTGACACCATCTTGGGATCCAAACAACATGTGGCTTGCCACCATCATAGCTGCTGTCATGG